GAGAGCTGCCTTCTCTGGGGCTACAGGAAGAAGGGTATGCACTGTTCCAACATAGTTGCCATTTGTTTTCTTTTGTTTTTTGGTGCATGGGCCAGCACATGCTGGGCAGACATTTTATCACTAAGCCACATCCTCCCTTTTCTTTGTTAGGGCACAGGGATTTGCTAAGTTGCCCAGGCTGGCCTTGAACTTGGAGACCTCCTGCCTCAGCCTCCCAAGGTGGTAAAAAGTACAGGTAAAAAGCCCCTGTGGCTTTTCCAAATAATCCTTCTTCCTCATCATCATCATTCAGAGCTTGCATTCTTGCGCTGTGCTTGGGGCCTCCTGGGAAACTTCTGGTGGGTCCTTTGCACAAGGCTGGAATTGTGACTGACAGTTCCCACCCCGGGTTGCACCTCAGGGTCTTTTCAGAGGCTTTTGTTCTGGAACCCTTTATGGGAGCAGAGGGACATACTTCAGCTGAGACTTACTGTGTGTCACCCAACCTGCAGCTTCCTGCCTCCTGACAGCTGAAAGCTTGAGGATTCTGGGTTTTGAGCAGTTTTTTAACAATTTGACATGAAGTCCTGTTAGCAGAAGCAGGTTTCCTGGCCTGCCCAGGAGGATCATTGTCTAAGTGGGGGTTCCCATGGGGTTCCCAGCAGTTCTGCAGGACGCTTAAGACGGGATGCCATGCAGTTGGTACTTCTTACTTCGGTATGTTCTGATTTCAGAAGGCTTTGTTACCAAAGTATTTGGTCCTCTGAGCTGAGGTCAGGTGATAAGAAAAATGAAACTGACTGGAATTTAAATTTCCTTATCAAGTCATTACAGTCTCACAGAAAAGGCAAAGATTAGCTCAGGGATCTTGAGCTTCTCCAAGATTTGCCCACAAGCCACGAGGCTCCACTCCTACCCTGCGGGGCTGATATGAATAATAAATGAAATGATGTCTGCAGAGCAACTAATGTGGGGTTTTTTCCCCCTCCTTTTCTTAGTAATCACAAAAATTTAAGGGAACACATTCTCAGGAAATGAAAATTTCAGGGTCTTGCTTATACAGAGGGTTTGTCCAGCTTCTTCCCTCAAAATGTATGATATAGGGCCTTTGTGTGTTAGCAGTAAACTTAGAGGGTCTGACGTGGTCCTTTAGGTTATTTCCTTTTGTTTTTTTTTTTTTTTTGTGTGTGTGTGTGTGTGTGTATGTGAGTGAGTGAGTGTGTGTGTGTGTTGTATGTGTCTGTGTGTGCATGTGTATGTCTGTGAGTGTGTTTATGTGTGTGTCTATATGTGTGTTGTGTGTGTCTGTGTGTACATGTGTATGTCTGTGGTGTGTATGTTCACCATAATCCTGCAATGCTCTAGGAGCCCAGAAGAATATCAGATCCCTTACAGCTGAAGTTACAGGCAATTGTGAACTGCCATGTGGACGATGAGAATTGAACCCAGGATCTTTGCAAGAGCAGCAAGTTCTCTTAACTGTTGAGCCATCTCTCTAGCCCTGGGGTTCTTCAGTTTATAAACTTGTAGCTCTTTTTCCTGGTTAGAAAGAATGTGTTATCAATAAATACAAAAGGTTTCATATACAGGTGTGTGTGTGTGTGAGAGAGAGAGAGAGAGAGAGAGAGAGAGAGAGATTGCTGTCAGGTTCTTCTCCATGGCAGAGGGTCCCTCTCAACCTCACATGAGCTACCCAAACCTTTGCTTAGATGTAAGGCTTTATTTAGATACAAGGTGGGAAGGGACTTGAGTTTTTTGCCCTCGAGCTTGTATTCATGTACAAGGATCAGGGTTCAGATCTGCGGGGGCCACACTGCTGTGGAGGGAGGAAAGTTCTCTGGCCCCTATCAGATCACACCTATGACCACAGCCCTCACTCACAAAGAAAGCTTTTCGTCCCTGTTGGGAGCATGTGCAAACCCAATGTTTATAACGGTGGCAGCAGAAGAGGCAACAGCTAACGTTTATTGACTACCTGACAGAATGATGTATTTTTCTGCACATAACCCTGATCACAGCCCTATTGGATAGAGATCATGGCTGTGCCCGGGAAACCAAAGCTTATTATTTTACTCAGGTCCCATTTTTCTATGCTAATAAGATCTCCATGGAAACTCTGAACCAGCCCTGCCAGTCTAGCTCCATGCCCGACATCCACCAGCAGCTCCACTCTGAGCCTCCTGACTTGACACCACAGGGAGTTGGCTGCTTGATGGTTGCAGCCTCCTGCTGCTGAACTTGTGTCCTGTTTCCATGTCAGAAAACGAATTCCCAGCAGTCATGGACCTTGAGGGTCTCCTTTACAGCTCTACAACAGGTGGCGAAGACAATAGCTCCTCCCTCATCTAGGGATGGTGTTCAGCCTGGGCCCTGTCACCGGGAAGGCTGTCATGAGGATGACTGCTGCCTTCATGCTCTTCCTGGGAGCACTGGTTACCCATTTTGTCTGTCTGCTAAAGGTTTTATGCCACAAGTGAATCAAACCTCGTTCTGCAAGGCACGGAGGAGTGCAGTCTAATGGTGGAAGAAACTAAATGAGGCAAAGCAGCGACTTATTGTGACAGACTAGGCAGTCTGGGGCTGTTGGGCAAGGAACCTGTGACTGCTCCTGCTTCTGCAGATCCCAAGGCTGCATTGGATGACAGTTTCTGTATGTTTGCTTTGTTTTTACATATGAAACAATGCTTATATTATGAACGAATTAACTGCAAGTCACTGTCTAGACACTATTAATGCTAACTTTTAACAACCATGGCAAATAACTGTCATCATTTTTATTTCATCAATGAGAAAACTGGGACTGAAAGAGGTAACTTAAACAAGGTACCAAAATTAGCAAGAAATACAGCTAAGATTAACATCCGGACATGTGATTAATAATTCATTGTAGTGACCTGAGATTGAGGGGAGTGTGAAATATTCCCATTGTACATATACATAACAAAGAAACATTTAAACATGTTATGTGTTCGAGGAATATATATATATATATACATATACATATAAATAATTTTTTTTTTAATTTAAGCATTGGTGCTTTTAAAAATGGATTCCCCCAGCACTCAGGGAGGCAGAGGCAGGCTGATAGCTGTGAGTTCAAAGCCAGCCTGGTCTACAAAGCGAGTCTAGAACAGCCAGGACTACACAGAGAAACCCTGCCTCAGATAGATAGATAGATAGATAGATAGATAGATAGATAGATAGATAGATAGATAGATAGATAGATAGATAGATATTTAAAGAAAGAATGGATTTCAATTATTTAGAAAGTTCTGGGTTTGTTTTGTGAAGGAAAAAAAGGTTTACTGAATATGCTGGAAGGAACTGTGGGCTGGGCTGGGGGTTATAAAAGTACCTCTAGTAGCCAAAGTTATAGTTCCTTATTGTAATAAAGTATGATTTATAATATTATTAATTTATCCTGAAATCGAGAGTATATACACGTAAACAAAGAATCATTTGCTACCAATACTTAATACACATCAACTACAAAAATGAAATAAACAAAAAGAAAAGAAACATTGACGTTATTGGCATTGAAGTTGCTTGAAATAAATGTACTATAAAACAGTTAACAAGAAAATAGCTTGGGCCGGGTGTGGTGGTGAGTAATCTCAGCACTTGGGAGGCAGAGGCAGGCTGATCTATGAGTTCAAGGCCAGCCTGGTCTACAAAGTGAGTTCCAGGACAGCCAAGGCTACACAAAGAAACCCTGTCTTGAAAAAGGAAAGAAGGAGGGAGGAAGACAGGGAGGGAGGGAGGGAGGGAGCGAGAATTAGAGGGAGGGAGGGAGGGAAGGAGGGAAATAGCTTGAGCCAGGTATAGTGGTGAGTAATCTCAGGACTCCGGAGGCAGAGGCAGGCTGATCTATGAGTTCAAGGATGGCCAAGGCTACACGAAGAAACCCTGTCTTGAAAAAGGAAGGAGGGAGGGAGGGAGGGAGGGAGGGAGGGAGGGAGGGAAGGAGGGAAGGAAGGAAGGAAGGAAGGAAGGAAGGAAGGAAGGAAGGAAGGAAGGAAGGAAGGAAGGAAGGAAGGAAGGAAGAGCAGGCAGGCAAGCTCGGGACAATGGCTTGCTTATGTAAGTAGGAGAAACTACTGAAGCATCCATTGTCATACACAACTTTTAGTTATATTGTTTGAGGTTCTTATTTTCATGTGTTATAGAGTCAAAGTGTTTGTTTTTAAGGGAGCGCTTGTCCCCAAATTTTAGAGCATCTAGCATATTTGAAAAGAAAAGCCAGCAGAATGTTACAAACAAAACAATCTAACTTGACCTTTCACAGAAGCCTGTTCTGTGACATTGTGATGAAACAGGCAGCTACTTTTGTCTCGTGCTGTCTGTGGAGATTTGCCCTCACATCAGAACAACCCAGCCAGGTCAGACACGGAAGCTCAGTTCTGGTCCCAGCTGTGTCTTCATAGTGGAGAAGGGGCAGAAGATGCTCAGACACAGCCACTCCCTCATGTCCTCAAACCTGCCAAGAACCTGCTTGCTGGCAGGCTCATCAAAGCCTCTTGTCCCTGAAGTCATTCAAGCTCCAGATCTATCACACGTATTCATAAACTTCTTATTTGCTGTTCCTTTAAGCCATTTTTAGGGTGAATTAAAAACTCAGGCATCCCTCAATTCCACACTGTCCTCCTATGACATTTTAAGTCCCAGGCATGCGGAGGGAGCTGGAGAATGTGAGCCCCGAAAAGTGACTGTCAAGTCTTCTTGGTGAGAGCGAAGACTCCTAGCTGCATCATCCCTTTGACTTATTGATATAAGCTATATGTCATACTTGCCTGGAATGGAAGTTGACATAAGTTCTTGCCAGCATTTTTTAAACAGCTTATTAATGGGCTTGGTCTATCATGCCTTTAGATAATTAGAGCTAAAAATCAGCCAGCGCTCCTCACCAAGGAAGACTGGATTCCATTACAAAGCAGACTTAAAGAAGAAAATGGGCCAGCAGCAACTATTTCCAGGCCCTGGTTTGACTTTTTATTCACATGACCTTTTCTTTTCGTTCCCAGGGTCGGGATTACTGTTCTGAAGAAGAGGATATCACATAGCATCGATTCTTCCACGCAGACAAGGAGCTACTACTGTGTAAATAGGTTACACCCCAGTTGAAACCTTTGCAAAGGTCGGTTCTCTTCACTGAACAGCACTATAGCAAACGAAGACCGGTCCATATCGTATGCCCCATTTAATTACAGTGTTTCTTAATGAACCTGCCAAGGAATATTGCTAAACACAAACACAAAACTGTTCTGGAACTTTCTTTGTTGCTGCTAGTTAAAACTTGTTGCAACTTTTCACTTCTCTTGTGTCCAAGTATGCAGCAAAATTCTGCAATTCACCTTAAAGATACTATTGGTTTTACGATGCTCTCTGGCCTATTTTCTATAAGATGAGGTTGAGGTAGAGGTGAACTCTCATACAGACTCCAGTTCTAGCCTGGTTCTGCTTTGATGTCAGGCAGCCCCTCCCCTTCTTTCCTCCCCCATCTCTTCCAAGTGGTCCAGAGGTGCCCTGAGCCTTGCTTCTCCCTGGTAATGGGAGGCTTTGGACATGGGATGGTGGCCTTGGTGAGCCTTGTTTCTCTGCTCAAAAGTAGAAGAGCCACAGTTGACTAAAAGCATGTCGTGACCTGACTCCTGGAAGTGACATAGGGGCGAGCATAGGTGGTTCCACTTCCTAGGACTCTGAGTGCAGGATTAAGCTTGTAGGGTTGGCTTTGCTCACGTGCAGAAGTGTGACCACAATCATCTTGAATCCCTCTTCCTCACTCTTTTTTTTTTTTCTAAGAAATAAACATTTTACTGTTTTTATGTATCCTTGTCTTCTCCCATTCATCCAGTTCAGCATTTTAAGATGATCCCAGGGGTGGAAGTTTAGTCCTCCTTCACAGTGACACTGACGATGGCCTACATGGCTCCCCACACTCTGTTGACATCTGCCACGGTGTGGAAGGGCTGTAAGTGGTCGGAAGAGATGAGGGACGTCCCGGTGACTTCTTAGGAGGGCTGGAAACCACCGTTAGCTTTCTTTTTGTTAGCTATTAAACACGCTATTTTCTGATTCTCCCCCTTCAATATGCTACCTGAGCCTTGCCCCTTCCCTTGTGTTTCCAGCTCCGGTAGTATGGGTAAAAAGGTGTCTACCTGGAAATCATAGGATATTCACACTGGTGATGTTATTCGGAGATGTGAAAGCCAAAAGCCCCTGCTGGTGGGGAAGTATTGACTGTGTTCAGTAGAGTTTATTTTTCCATACTATATGAAGAGAAAAACCTCTTCTCAAAGACAGAAGTAATATTTTTAACAAATATTGTCACAAGTAAATAGCAATCAAAAGGAGAAAATAACTTTTGTATTTTTTTAATCGTGTTTGATAGCTTTGATGAGGGTTCTCTTTGTTACTTTCAGGGGAGGGCACCCTGTTAAATGCCATGCCAGCAGTCCAGGGTTGGGCTTGTCTCTCTCTCTCTCTCTCTCTCTCTCTCTCTCTCTCTCTCACACACACACACACACACACACACACACACACACATACACACCAAGAGACACACACACAAAGGAATGCTGTGGTTTTTTTTTCTCTGAAGGTTATGAATTTCAAGGGCCTCACTATCAGCCACACTGCCACCTTTGGAAGGTGGAATAGTTTCAAGAGGGATAGGTAAGACGTTCCCAACTGTCAAAAGATTGTCTGCCACAGAACAGAATGGGAAGCTGAATCTGTTCTTGCCAAAGTGATACTTGACTTTCAGATCTGTCCACAAAAAAATGGCAAGATTCTTCATCTCCTGTCAGACCCGAGGCAGCAAAAGTCAGGGAAAGAAAATGTAGTTGAGTGCTATAGAAAATGGACTAGGGTGCTAGCAACAAAATCCCATAATTCTTGCAGCCAGCAGCAGCTATTTTGGGGAGCAGCTGTGCTTGTTACATAAATAGAGAGTTGCAGCCAAAAGCTAAGGCTTTTTATCCTGCTTCAAGCAGAAAAATGCAGGGAGAGTCGAGTAGTCAAGGGTTTTAAATTCCCTCCCCTTGTATGGTTTTTTTGGCCAAAGGACGAAAATAGTTTTCCTCAACTGTAAATGAACTGTTAAACCCCACCTCAAACTTGTTCACTGGAGACTTTGTTTACTGTTCTCTGGATGGCCATTTCCGGGATCTCATGCTCTTATCAAGAAAGAATGAAGTGAATGTTAATGTCTTCCATTTGACCCCTCTACTCGGTGTCTAAGACAGTGTCTTCCCAGGAAATCAACACCCTCTGCCTGAAGATGAGAAACCCATGTCTTTTTCCTCAGTCACATTTAGCATTTTGGATGTCACTCATGTTTCTTGGGACCCTCCCTTTGAGTGTTAATGAAACCCTAAGTGCTGTTTAGGAAACAGCAGTTTTTCACAGTTCTGTCTCCTGTGTTTCATGCTGGATACCTCTATGCTGTACAAAAGTGATTTCATCTTCAGATATGTTCAGTTGCCTCTAGAATTAGGTCCAAGAAATGGGATGGTTGAGTGGGTTGGCATGAAATGCTTGGCTATGTTAGCAGCACTCAAAACTGTCTGTTTTCCATTTGTTGGTTTGAATCATAAAATTGTCAAGTGATTTGTGTTTGTACTTTATTTTTCTATACCAACTGGAAGGATCTAAATTAAAAAATATATGGCCCTCCACTGTATCAGAACATTAGGCAGATTGCCTCAGGTATAAGGAGAAGACTTATCCAGTATGGCTGCTGGTGTATCCTGCTAGTTGTCATGTCTGTAGGACTCGGCCATTGGAAGGAGGGAGGGAGGGAAGTGACCTGGTGGGCGCAAGAAGAAAAATGTTGAGAAATGGACAGAGGCTATTTGGAAGAGCGTTTAGAGTGGCTGTGTGCTATGGCAGTTGGTCTAGTGGCCAGTGGGTGGAGTGGGCCGGCTAGTGAGATTTGTAGTTGGGTTATACACGCCTCATGTCCTCCACGCTCTAGAGTTGTAAAGGTTCTGCAATGTGTGCGCAGCTTTCTTTTGCTTGGCAGACATTCAGGATCCGGGAGTACTGCTCTCATAATTGAATACGTGTTTCTTACTGGCAGACAAATTCAAAGGAGGCTTTTACCTCCACGAGGCCTCCTAGTCCCAGGCCGAAGCGGGAGCATAGAGTGACATTATGGTCTATTTAGGGACAAAGGAGGTACAAAGCCCAGAGATGAGAAAACTAGGTCAGCCCCGCAGAAACAGCCACACAGTGGCAGGCCTCTCCCTGTCTGCTGTGCCTAGGATCGGAGGCTGGGCTTTGATGACTCAAGTAAGAAATAAGTGCCCCAGGAATAGCTTTGGCTCGCAGGCCCCTGGCGCCTGCCTGTTTCTTCACTAAAAAGCTTCTCTGTGTCTTGGGTGTACCCAATACTGAAGTGGCCATGCCAGAGAGATGACAGCCCAAAGATGGTAAGCTCCACAGCTCGACCCAGTTGATGGCCTCTGACACTGAGTTATAACTTCATCCTCCACCCAACCTCATCACAACCTTTTTTTTTTTTTTTTTTTTTTTTCCTCTTTCAGCGGGAGTCCTATAACCCTGCTGAAACAGAAAGCTCTCCTGAACTTTTCCTCTATCACCTACACCGTAGAGAAAGTCCTGTTTAGATGCCGGGTGGCCACTTCAAAGTTGCCCCATCTCTGCGGGTCCCAGTACAAGAAACTTCATTAAACATGTTTGTTTTGTACTGAGAGAAAAGCTCGCCTTCTTAATCCAGGAAAACACGAAGAATCTGGACTTTTAAATCCGGGTATTTTCAGTATAAAAGATAAAACAAATCGATATAGAAATTCTCTCCCTTAAGCTCCACTCAGAATGGCGGGGGGGGGGGGGGGACAGTATCACACTGTGCTCATTTCCTTATAACTCTTTAGAAATTAACCTTGTTTGAGCTGCTTAAAACTCCAGTAGAAAAATAAGGGATAGTTGGTGGGTAGGGACTGTGGATTTAAAAGGCACAGTGAGAAGGTGGCTGCAGGCAGGGGCTTCAAGATGTCATGGGTGGGTTGGCAGGCCCCAGTACCTCTGCAAAGCTTTGTGAGCCCTCCACAGATGCTCTGGGATAAACCGTTGGGATTCCTTGAAGGAGGCCTGTGAATCGCCTCCTGCAGATATGTGGATGCATTCTTCTCATGCCTTGATTTCCACAGTCACCTTTTCTATTGTTTTGTCGCCAGGAAAAAGGAAAAAAAAAAAACCCAAACACAAATCTGTGGGAGAACATATGTCCCTTATGACAAACTCTGGGACTCATTAGTGATGCCATGGTTTTCAGGAAATCTTCTGTGATGCATGCCTGAGATCTGATTCCACCTTGAGTGGGAAAAGGAGTATAAACAGGCATTGTTTATACTCTCTCACTGACAGACGCTGCCCCCAGCATTCTCTCTTTATCTCCTTTATCTCGTGTATTCTTCAAAATAGTCCTTTTATACCCTTCCCCCACAATCTGAGTAGTGTGTCTTACATGTTGAATTCATCTGTGTAGTGACAGTGCTCGTGGTGAAAGAAGGAAAAATGCCATTCGAGTATTTTACTATTGATAGTGCATACCTTGCAACACTGTGAAAAAGGCCTTTGGGGGCCTTAGCCTTCTAGAGTGTCTCTTTGGCTCCTTACCAGAGTGTTCTCCTCATGAGGAGTCTTAGCCTGGCCCTCCCTAACCCTACACGCCGCACACAAACCTGAAGAAGCCACTCATGACCAAAGGACTTTGGGGTCCAGAGGGAAAGGCTTTCAGCATCTGAGAAAAGATGTAACCTTTCCCACCTTTTGGGTGCTGTGTTTTCCCCTCGCCCCCTGGGTCCTCTAAGTTTGTTTCTTCAGAGACTTGTCTTTTGAAGGCTAAAAGCCTCACTCACCTTTGCAGAGAGATCTGAGAGTCTGAGGAGGAGCCAGTGCCTTGGACCACTAACTTGGATGGAAATCCTTCCTGGTGGACTGCAGTTGGATATTTCTGTTTTGTTCCTGGACTGGGGTCTTTATTTTCCAGGCCAGTTTAAGCACCAAACCTAGATATGACTCTCCAGATCTTAAACATTTTCACATTGTCGTGCGGTGACCTACCGAGAGCCACTCCGGTCCAAGGTTAGATGGGCTCAGGAACTCCAGCGTCCATCTCTCCTTGCTTTATACAAATGCATGGTGCAAAAGATGACTCACCCCTACGGCAGCTGGCGAAGACGCCACCTGGAGGGGACCCATGGCTACTTTCCTTTACTTGCAGGATTCTAAAGGATTTCCTTATTCAAGTTGTTTTTGAAATAGGTCCCCAGATCCTGATTGCTTATAACCTAGCAGTTTGCAGATTCCATCAAGATGATGTGGGAGTGGTCCTCATCTCTTGAAAGCCAGAGAAATTACTTAAAGTCAGGAAGGTCCCTCTAAGTCGAAGTCTCCGATGGGACGTTGTCTCTTTGCCTTGGGTCCATTCTTCTTCCCTTGCCGAGGGTTATTTTTAGACCAAGCTTTTGGATTTGACTGAATAAGATTCAAAGTAAAAAGAACAGCATAAACTTAACCAGAGCTTTCTTCAGTTCTCCAGGGACCACTTGGCTCAGACCAGGAGTTTACAAAAAAATAAAAAGCACTTGGCATCTCAGTCCAGACCTTCAGGGCCTCTTCTCTTTGACAGGCAAGTGAGCAAAGGAGGTTTTGCAGAAAATTCTGAGCCAGATTGTTCCATCAAAAAAAAAAAAATGTAAATTCATAAAAATTATTATCCATTTTCCTGGATCAGACCCAGACAGTTGCCTTACTAGGACATTAAATTTGGATCTATTCTTTTAACACATACACAAAGATAGATGGATAAAGAAAGCATAAATACTTAATCACAGACAGGCTAGGGGAAAAGGGAAGCTGTCTTTTACCATTCTGTAATCACTACAATAATGTCTAGGGGAATATCCATATAACTGTGAGGCTGCTTAAACAGGAAACCCTCATGGCTGCTTTTCTATAAATCTGAGTCAAATCCAGTGGGAGCACCAAGTTCTGTGAGTGGACTTCTCTCCTTGTGCCCTTCTGTGCCTGATGTCTGCATGTGTCTGATTCCTCCGGGCCTCTGGGTGGGTGTTTTGACTCGTGCCCTTTCCCAGCTCACAGTGGGACTGAAGGCACATGCCAGGACCAGCCATAGCATTGGTTACACATTCCCACTCGTCCATATGGCCTTGGCTGGGACGCTGCAGCAGCTCTGCTGAGTTATTAACACGTAGAGTTTGAGTGCCTTTCCTCGGGTTGTCCTGGGTGTAGCTACGCCTGGTAGGCTCCAGGCCCTGAGCCAGTGGCCAAGCAATACAAAGGTGAACCACAGTTTTCACCCTCTAGGAGCCTATCACTAAAGGGGGAATAGTCTGGAAGGGCCACCTTAGAGAACTCGCAGGACACTGCAGGATCAGGCTGCAGGCTGGCCAGCTTTGGGTATAGAAGCTTCCTGAAAACAAGGACAGTAAAATTTATACTTGTCTGGGCACAGAGGGGAAGGTCTCAGAAGGGTCATCCTTGCTGAGAGGACAGTAGGAGACTTAGCAAGTAGGGAGAGGGCCATCTGGGGCCTTCCTGCAGGGAAAGGGGTGGTGCTTAGGGTAGCAGAGAGAAGAGCAAGGGATGAGAAGAGGGAGGCAAACTAGGCTCTGGGGCTTAGCTTGTGGGTTCCTGGAGTAGGAAGGAGAGTTTCGGATATGTCCCTGAGAGCTAGATGTGACAGTTCGAAGGGTGGGACTTGACTCCTCTGGAAATACACAGCTGGTGGCTGAGAAGATTTCTACCCACCCATTCTTTCTCCCCTTTCTAACTTCTCTTCCTGCTTCAAAAAGCTGTTTGAGTTCAAGGGCATTAGCTTGGGCTGGATCTAATTTGGAGATTCGTGGGAGACAAGGCTGGGTCATCCTGACCTGTCTTTAGAGAAATGAGGGCTAAAAATACCTCTTGGGACCAGGTTGGCATAGACCCAGAGATGAGAGTATACCCTAAAATAAATATACAGGGAGCAGGAGGGTTTCCCTATTTAGTATGTGGTTCTAACCAAAGCATAGCTTTTGCTTAGCCTTCCCCTGGGGTAGGTCACACACACTGACCCAGGAAGGCAGCCAGGCTTCTGCCAGGTCACAAGAACATACCTGAGGCTTCCCTAGGAAAGAGGAGGCAGAGGTCTTTAGTGGAGGGCTGCCTTGTTTCGTTTTTTATTATAAAGTACAAATAAGTTGTATGCAAATGCGGAATATCCACGAGGCCCTCTGGTGGCTGAGGACCAGTGGGGCTGTCAGTGCTGGGGGCTCCCCAGGAGTGAGTCAGGGAAAGCCTGGACGAGCAAAATGCATCCTGCTGCGAAAACGATTTGCAGTGCCTTTTAGGTCTTTCAAAGAACCTATTTGGAGTTTGCAGCATTGGGTTTTTCCTTCTTTCCTTCTTTCTTTTTCCCCCTGTCCACCCCCCCCCCCAAAAAAAAAAAAAAGAAAGAAAAGTTTTAGAAGAATCTGAATTAGAAACATCAGAATTCTAGCAATAAGTCAGCTTGGCCAGAAAAGGAGGAAAGGCTCACAGGGATTGAAGTTCCTCTAAGAGGCTGGAGGGCTTTGGAGCTGAGGGCAGCTTTTCTAGCCACGGGCACTGATCCTCTGCTTGGGGGGTTCCAAGAAGCCCTCCCTCTCTTGCTGCTCT